TGCGTGCGTAAATATTTATTATGGTTATGTCCTCCTGGTGTATTGACCCTTTAATCGTTGTATAGTATCCTTCCTTATCCTTTGTGGTGGATTTTGCTTTAAAGTGTGTTTTGTCAGAGATTAATATTGCCACTCCTGCTCTTTTTTTGAGTGTTGTTTGCTTGATATTTTTTTTTCCATCCTTTGTGTTTTAGTTTGTTTGTGTCTTTAAGTCTAAGGTGTGTCTCTTGTAGGCCACATATAGACGGATCGTGTTTCTTTATTCATTTTGCCACTGTCTGTCTCTTTATTGGTGCATTTAGTACATTTATATTCAGTGTAATTATTGATAGGTATGAGTTTAGTGCTGTCATTTGATGTCTTGTTTTGTGTGTTGTTGACAGTTTCTTTGTTCCCCTTAATTTTCTGTGCTGAGTCATTTTTCTTTATGTATTTCTTTTCATTGTTGTTGATTTTGTATTTACTGAGTCTTTATATTTTTCTTGTTTTTCATTTTGATGTGTAGGATTGTTAGTTTCCTTTGTGGTTACCTTAATATGTACCTCTAGTTTTCTAAGTTTAAACTAATCTTTCATTTCTTTATATCGCCTTGACTTCCTCTCCATATGAAAGATCTATGACTAATTATTTCATCCCTCTTTTTTGTTTTAATGTTGTCATCTTTTACTTATTGATGTCTCCGTTTCCCTATTTTCAGTGTTTTAGCTTTGATTTATTTTTGTGACTTTCCTATCTGGGTTGATATCTGGTTATTCTCTCCTGTGTTCTAGCCTTGGGTTGTTATATGATGTTCTTGGTTTTTTAACCAGAAGACGCCCTTTGTATTTCTTGTAATTTTGGTTTGGTTTTTACAAATTCCCTAAACTTCTGTTTATCTGAAAATGCCCTAATTTCGCCATCATATTTGAGAGACAGTTTTGCTGGATATATAATTCTTGACTGGCAATTTTTTTCCGTCAAGGCTTTATATATGTCATCCCATTGCCTTCTTGCCTGCACAGTTTCTGCTGAGTAGTCAGAGCTTAGTCTTATTGACTCTTGTGTGTAGACGACTTCTCGTTTATCCCTAGCTGCTCTTAAAATTCTGTCTTTATCTTTGGTTTTGGCAAGTTTGAGTAAAATATGTCTTGGTGACTTTCTTTTGGGATCTACCTTGTGTGGGGTCCGATGAGCTCCTTGGATAGATATCGTCTCATCTTTCACGATATCAGGGAAGTTTTCTGCCAACAAATCTTCAACAGTTCTCTCTGTAGTTTTTGTTATCCCCCAGTTTTTTTTTAAAAAAAAAGAAAAAGGAAAAAAACAGAAAAACCAAACCCGTTGCTGTTGAGTCAAGTCTGACTCATAGCGACCCTATAGGACAGAATAGAACTGCCCCATAGGGTTTCCAAGGAGCACCTGGTGGATACTGATATAATACATAACTCAAATCGTAGTATAAGAGAATAAACTTAATTTGCTTATGATACTCTAGATATTTCATTTCTTAAAATGTTTATTTTGCTCATATAATCTAGACCAGTAATGGAAACAAACAAACAAACAAAAAACTAGATTCTAGTCTCAGCAATTCCATCAAGCAGCCACATCTGTGAATGAGGGTGTGTATTTGTTAGAATTTTTATGATCTTTTAAATACTAATGCATCCCTGGTGGTGTAGTGGTTAAGAGCTTGGCTCCTAACCAAAAGGTTGGCAGTTCAAATCTATCAGCGGCTCCTTGGAAACCCTATGGGACAGTTCTGCTCTGTCCTATAGAGTCACTAAGAGTCAGAATCAACTCCACAGCTATGAGTTTGGTTATTTTTTTTAACGGATTTTGAGTACTAATGTTTTTTGGACCATAGCATCAGCAATGGGTGCTATTCATTATCTGTGAACTTGACCTATGAAGAGGATCCTTGAAATGACTCCACAAGACAAGGCAGCATTCTATTTACGGACTTGTGTGTTGTAATTTCTCATCCTGATATAGTACCTTCTGCCAGATGAAGGGGACTCTTGTCTACCATGTTAGGAAACAAAGATAAAAATGTGTGGGTTTTATTACATATATATGTATAAGTATGTATCATGTATATACATATATATACACGATACACACATATGTACACTATATATATACATATTTTAAAAAGAGTTATGCTTATATTATACAAGGAAGTAACATATTTCAGGAAGTTAAATTCCAAAATCAGAATCTCAGTTGAAAATCATATGTAGTGGAAATTACCTTTGAAAATCTCTTTAGTTACCATAAAATCTGTATTACATTATGTATATTGTACATCTCTTGGTTGGTGCAACATGAATTTTTCTCCAGCATTGGAAGTTTGCTCCTTGTTTGATTAGTACCAAGTGAGATTTTTGACTTGCATTTAGGACCTGTGTTTATGTGAACTATTAGGTTTTTCTTTGTTCTTTTTCTTACTCAGTCTTTTTTTTTTCTCTCCTATTAATTCAATTAGAATACTTTGAATATAGGTATGATAAACTGCATACTAGTAAAACGCTTAAGTTAGATATAGAAACAATTGTATTTCATATAGTGTAGTTCCATACCCCTCACTCCAGGCATGGAGGTTGGGGCCTACCTCAAATTACTGTTCACTCCACGTATACCAGATGTACCCTGAGCATGCCCTCTCCTTTCCCACCTTTTTTCCCACCCTTTATTAATGCTGTTCCCCCTCTCTTCCCTCTTTTCTGCTTCTTACCCATTCCGTTAAGCTCTGTTCTGATACCCCATAAGCTGTAAGGGGTGCCCTGATTCTTGAAATGAAATGACTTCCTTCCTTAAGTGCCTAAGGCTGACCAGCAGCGGTAGATCATATAATGGTCAAGAGGGCAGGCTCTGGAACCAGGCTTTCTGGGTTCAAATCTCAGCTTTCCACTTGCTGGCTGTGACCTTGGAAAAAATTACTTAACCTGTCTGTGTCTTGGTGTCCTGACCTCCAAACTGGGTATAACAGAAGTACCTGCCTCAAGGAGCCTCTCTGAAGATGAACAATGTCTTATAAAACACTTAGGAGAGGGCCTGGCACACAGTGAGCTCTTGATAAATGTTGACTGTTATTAACTGCACCATGGCACTGATCACACTGAGCAGTGTATTATAAGTATGTGAACCTCATATGCTTTCTTCAGTAGAAAATGTACTTCTAGAGGAAAAGATGATGTCACATTTGTTTTTGTATATGAAACTCTAGCACATTATTCTATCTTGCACATAGTAATCATTCAATGTATGTTTGTTGAACTGATATAAAAATATGATAGGCTTCCAGAAGATGTTGTCAAACTTCTGTGTTTAAAGGTTGTTGATAATTGAGTGTAAGTTCTAAGTATAACCCAAAGGCCAAAGAATCAATTAATGAAAAAATTTGTAAATTATACTCTAAAATATTTAACGGTTCTACGTCGAAATATATACCATATCACAAACTGGGGAAAATACTTGCAGCTTCAGTGACAAAGAACTAATATCATTAGTATATATTTCTAAAAAAAAAGACTCATATATCCAAGAGCATGGTCAAGAGTGATTAATAAGCAATTAAAAAGAAAATCAAAACCATGAATAACTGCCTCCTTTGCCATGATACCAGAAGAACTGGATGATGCTCCACTACCATTGCTGAAAATTTTGATCAAAGATTCTATAGAAGAATCTGGATCAAAAGGGGGAAAATACAGAACAGATTTTAAATTCTCATGGACTCTAGACTTTCTGTAGCATGGAAGCTGGATAAACCTCTGAAACTATTGCCCTGATATAATCTTTAAATCTTAAACCAAAAATATCCCCTGAAGTCCTCCTAAAAACAAACAGTAGTGTAGCTTAACTAGTAAAGAATGTCTGCCTTGAGCATTCTGCTCTTTTAAGATCTATTTATATGGGATCAAATTGACAATAGCAACTTGAAAGATTGTATAGGAAACTTAGGGGGCAGTGAATTTATGTTAATGGGGGAGGAATAATTCAGAAAAGGAGGGTGAGAATGGTTGCACAACTTGAAGAATGTAGTCAATGTTACTGAATTGTACATGTAGAAATTTTTGAACTGGTGTATGTTCTGCTGCATATAGTCTCAACAACAACAACCAAATAAATTTTATAAAAAGAAATTCAATGTAAAATTAAACCTGTGAAAAGTTGTTTATTCTCATGAATGATAAAAAAAAGTTAGTCAAATGAAAAGTAATTTACAATATTTACCTATCAAATGAGCAAAGAATGATAACTGCAACTCCCATTGATATTGAGGGTGTGGTGAATTTTCACACATGGTTGTGGGGCCATAAATTTTGCTGCATATTTTCTGTAAAGGATTTTGACAGTGTGCTCTAAAACCTTAAAAAAATGTGTGCCCTTCCACTTCTAGATTGTGTCAGGGGGTAATCAGACCATTTCCAAGCATACAAATCTGAATATTCACTGCATTGTTTTTCATAATAGATAAGAAAAATCTAAGTACTGTCAATTGATAACTAACTGCTAAATTATTCTATATCCATATAATCATAAGGGCATACAGGTTGGGCATTAAATGAATGTGTAACTATTTTTATTGGGATGGGAAGATCCCTAGGACATATTGATAATTGAGAAGAAGTTGTTTATAAAATAAGATGTGTAGTACAAAACCAATTTTTGTTTAAAAATTATATCTATGTCAACTTTTAGAAAAACTTTTGTAAGGTTAGAAACCAAGAAATAAGTGTTGGCTATTTCCTGGTAGATAATAAGTGATTTTTATTTTCTTCTTTATATTTCTCTGTGCAATCTGAATTTTCTGCAGGAACACTGATTATTCTTATAATACTAGAGGCAATAAGTCTATTTCTAAGTATTAGAGTAGACTATATCTCTCTGTTTGGTATAGCCAAGCAGGGAACTGTTTAAATGAGAGGTTGCAGTTTGCTGTTTTGCAGCCCCAAGAGCTTTTGCACTTTTCAGCTGGTCTGACATTTTCTCCCGCCATTTCTCTCTACCTGTAGCTAGAAGACGAAATTACAACTTTACGACAAGTCTTATCAGCGAAAGAAAGGCATCTGGTTGAGATAAAACAAAAACTCGGCATGAACCTAATGAATGAATTAAAACAGAACTTCAGTAAAAGCTGGCATGACATGCAAACTACTACTGCGTAAGTATAATATGAACAGAATTTTTAAAAAATTTTCTTAGCTTGCTGTATTGCCACTCTCCAACCCTCCACCCCCTTACATGGCTGATTTGGTGCTCATACCTAGGAAAAATATTTTCTGTAGAAGCAGTATAAAGAAATATGTGTAATCATTAAATATGTTGCCTGTGAAGCAGATTTATAAAGCAGCTTCATGAAATAAAACTTTGACCACTAAAACTCTATTTTCACTCAGACCAATTTCCCAGGGTTTTGTGGTTTCTTTTTTTTAAATCTTTACCGTATATGTTTAAATATTTGTTAAATATGTATTTTTCTTAATTTCTTCTTATAAAAACTATAAATGAGTTGGATGTTTTCTCCTCTGAATACGTGACACTCACTACATATTTTGAATTTCTGTCATAAGTGGTCAACAATTTTAATATAGCCTTGTTGGCAATTATTGAAAAAGAAAAATTGTACCTCTCATATTTTCAGGATGTGTGTCTCATACCCAAATATTCTACGAAATATTTAGAGCCAGATTTAGGCCAACAGAAATGTTTTTGGCTTTGCTATTATATTTTTGTCTTGCATTAGGCAAGGAACAAAATAGCTTTGGTTTTGCTGCAAGCATACTTTTATTGGATTACTTTTTAAATTATGTGAAATATTTAACTTTTGCCATACTTTTCTGGTGATTTAAAATATTTTGCTTGCCAGGTGGTCTTGTACCAAAGGAAAGAAGGTGATCCCTTATGATGTGATTTCTTCTTTTTGTGTGTTGAGAGTGGGGCTGTTGGTGAAATCATAGAGGCTTCCTATCCCTAGTCCTAGCTCAAGCTCCAAATTCCACCATCAGAAAACTTCTTTGAGTTATGCCCTTTCTTCCCTGGTAACACCCACTGGAAGGTAAAGATATTGCATTCCTAATACCTAAGTGTGAATCAATTTTTTTTCTTTGCTGGTGCTTTTCCCCTGGACTTAGAGAGGCCTCATAGTAGGAAGAGGTGCCAATGATCCACAGCAATTATTTCATTTTTGCTAGGGCCATATTTGCTCACTGGTTCCTGAGAAATAAGGTCTAAGACCTTTAGCTTCTATGTGAAGGTGTCCTCTGTACAAGGAATTGGATCTAAAAAGGAGACTGAAATCTCCTCAGTGTGGCTCCCTTGGTTTTTACATGAAAGGAGAATGTCTTTGTCTGCTGTAAAGTGGGCCAAGAGTTCTGTAGATTTCTCTGCTTATGCACCCCAAGGACGCATCCAGACAGTTTAGGGCACAGCCTAGAGCAGGGCAGAATAGAGCCAGGCAGCCCATCAGTTTATCTCTAGAGGCTAACCAACCTTCCCCAGCTGGTGACAATTAAGGAAGAAGAAACCACACATTGATATGCATTGCTTTAAAATATATATTGCAGTACCATATGAACAAAACCCTGAAAAGAATGCTATATTAAATGAGCACTAAATTAAATGAGCTTATCTGGCAGTAAGTTCTTGTCTCAGTCTTTGCATTTTGGTGGCCTATAACAATTAATGGGCCTGAAAGTGTGAGCTTAAACAATCTCCAATTCCCTGAGTCAAGTTGAATCTGTATTTAATCCAGATCTGAACTTCCTTCAGAGCCCTGATGGCACAGTGGTTAAGAGCTTGGCTGCTAACCAGAAGGTTGGCAATTTGAATCTACCAGCTGCTCCTTGGAAACTCTGTCCTATAGGGTTGCTATGAGTCGGAATTAACTCCATGGCAACGGGTTTGGTTTGAGTTTTGGTTTCTGGAGTCTGACAAGCAGGAAGGATCTTTCTGCTTGGCCTCCCTAATCACACTTCAGGGATAAGCTAACGAAATGCAGGGCAGGAAAATTCCAGCAATTCTGGTTGGGAGTGGAGGAGGGGCAGGGAATATCTGGGCAGAGGGTATGTCCAGGATAACTGTCATGTTTTTCCCTAGGTCTGATGGGGGTGGGATGGGAGGTGGGCAGAAAGGGGAGAGGTTCGTCCTCTTCCTGGGTCATGGAATTAGAGCAGGCAAATTCTAGGAAGGCTTTTATCTCCAGGGGCATAGCAAGGGTAACTAGTGCCCAGAGGCAATCTCTAAATTGTGTCCCCCTCCCCCTCAATTGGAGGGCCCAGAGGCAATCTCTAAATTCCACCCACTCCTCCATTTAAAGATGAATAGACATTGATAGTGGCCATGCATCAGCAGAAATGCCTTACCCCCTCTTGTCTGGCACCTCAGTCAGGCACCTTTCATATTTGTGACACCTTGAAATGTCATTCTGTTCCTTTTCTGGCGCCCCCTTGAAGTGCCTCCTTTTGCCTCCTCCACTCACTGCGCCTCTGTTAGCCTCTGCATGAGGAGAATATGTAGTTTGTGTTTTTCCCATGTTTGAAAAACAAATTAGTCATATAACCAGTCAACTTAGTGTCATGTTTCTTGTTGGATGAATAGGACAGATTCATCCTCTGTGGTTATGGAACTTACAGTCTAGTCAGGAAGACAAAGGAGTTTTTTGTTTGTTTGTTGTAAAAACAGCTTGAGGGCAGTGTCTGGCCTTCTCCAACCCCACAAGGGGGAAGGAGAACCAAGATCAACAGCGGAAGGCTGACTCCCCTGAGGTGGAAGCCAGACAAGCCTCCTCTCTCTGTCATCTTCACTAATTCTGACACCAGCCAACCCTTGCACAGCACTCTCTAACTCTCTGCTGGGTTCGACAATTCATTGCAATGGCCACACAGAACTCACAGACCATACTCACGATTATGGGGATTATCAGGGGAGTACCAGTTACAATTAAGGCTCAAGAACGCGCAGGATACTGTTCTTCCACCAGGATAGCCTCTCCCTTGCCCTCAGTCTCTGGCCAAAGACACTCAGCTTTCTCTCTCCGTGGGCCAGGAAGTCCCCCACACCATCTCCTGCAGCCGGGTCTCTGCTGCTAGGTCTCTTCTTCCTTGGTGGTGGTGGGCTCCTCCTGTCTACTCTGGAATTGGCTCTTTTAAGGCAAAACTGACCAATCCCCTTGGCAGGCCACAATTACCTATCACACAATCACCTGGGTGGAATTTATAAGACCATGGTGTCATGGATTGAATTGGGTCTCCCAGAAATATGTGTCAATTTGGTTAGGCCTTGATTCCCAGTATTGTGTGGTTGTCCTCCATTTTGTGATTGTAATTTTATGTTAAAGAAGATTAGAGTGAGAGAGTAACACCACCCTTAACCAGGTTATATCCCTGATCCGATGTAAAGGGAATTTAATAAAAAGGAAAGGGAAGCAAGCAGAGAGGGGGCACCTCATACCACCAAGAAAGAAGCACCAGGAGCAGAGCGCATCCTTTGGACCTGGGGTTCCTGCACGGAGAAGCTCCTGGTCCAGGGGAAGATTGACAAGAAGGACCTTCCTCCAGAGCCGACAGAGAGAGAAAGCCTTCCCCTGGAGCTGATGCCCTGAATTTGGACTTCTGGCCTACTAGACTGTGAGAAAATAAATTTCTCTTTGTTAAAGCCACCCACTTGTGGTATTTCTGTTATAGCAGCACTAGATAACCAAGACACATGGCTAGAAAGACCACACACAAAGGTAATTAATCACACTGCATTTGTTTACAAGTTATTATAAATAGCCAGTTAAATGATAAGTGTGAAAAGTGATGTGCAGAAAAATACAGGGTATTGTGGGAATGCAAAGCAGCAGATCAAACCTTGCTTGGGATCTCCAGGCAGGTTTCCATAGGTAAATGATGTTTAAGCAGAGCTCTGAAGGATGAGCCAGAGTTAGTCAGGCCGAGTGGTGGGAGGAGCCTCCAGGGGAGGCACAGCCTGTGTGAGGAAGGCCCAAAGCAGGAGAGAAGTAAATCAGTGTTGTGGTGATGGCAGGGAGAAGTGGCCAGGGACATGTCACACAGGGCCATGTGGCATATATTAATAGGGTTATTCTTTCTCCACTTTAATCTGTCACTTCAACCTGTTAAAGGGTAGTGACAGTTATTCACTCAACAAATCCTAATGAGTGTCTACTTTTAGCATTTTTGCCCAGAGGTTAGTCTAAATCCCCAGGATATAGGAATCCACAAGATGGACAATATTCCTACTCTTCCTGGAAAGTCAAAAAGAGAAGAGAACAAGAAACAAGTAACAAAATAAAAGAATGAGGAAATATCAGGAAGTGCTTTGATGAAAATAGTATAGGGTGATGTGTTAGAGTGACTGGGAGGAGGGGGTAGAAGCTACTTTGATTGGGTAGTCAGGGAAATCCTGTTCTAGGCGGTTACTTTGAACTGAGCCCTGACTGACAAGAAAGAGCCAGTCTTGTGAAGATCAGGGGAGAGCTTTCTGACCAAGGGAAAAGTTGCTGCAAAGGCCCTAAGGCAAGAACTAGCTTTGCAGGTTTAAAGAGCCAAAAGAAAACACTTTTGTCTGGAATGTAGTGAGATGAGGTGAGGTTAAAGTCTCTGGGTCTCCCAAGTCATGGAGAGGAGTGGGGCTTTATTCCAAGGACTTTGGATGCTTTGGAGAATTTGAAGCAGGGAGTGACCTGTTCTGATTCACCTTTTAAAAAGGTCACTCAGGTTGCTTCATGTAATACAGATAGTGGAGGGAGGGTCATGAGTGGAAACCAGACAATTACTTACAAAGTTATTGCAGTAGTCTGGGTGGGTGATGTAGGTGCTAAGATGGAGAGCGAGAGTTGTGGATAGGATTTGGAGGTCAGGCCAACAGGACTTCTCATTAGCTTGGAGGTGGGTGGGGGGCGGTGTGTGTGAGCAAAATAGAGATGAAGTGTGGCTCGTAGGTCTTTGAGTCAGTCATACATGGCTCCTGGATGGGTATTGGGACTGTTGTTGTGATGACAGTGCAGCATTGTGGTTGATTTTCTGAGCTATGGCATCGTCCATTTGCTTGGGTTGAAATCTAGGCCTCACTGCATTCGTTAAATGAGGATCATATTAGTACCTACTTCATAGGTAGTGAAGATTCAATGAGCTAATATTTGTAAAACATGCAGGACAGGTA